TAACAATATAAAAATCACACTTGGCACAGGAGTATCCGTGATCACAAAGGCGGTGTCTTATTTGCTTTACTATAGCTATAGTTAGTTAAGAAAAATTTTAATTGATAAACTAAAAAATTGTAAGCAAAAATTTAACTAGAAGAAATTTAAAAGGAGACCGTCTCATCACACAGATCATCCCAGGTGTTTACTACTGTACCTCTGAAGAATCTTTGCTTGACGGCACATTCTATTTTTTGGAAAGCTTGTATCTGTGGCCTCGTAATACTATTCTATTTTCCAGTTGAAAAAATCTGGTAAACGGTGTTTCTTCTTTCTTGGTAATCTATTTGTATTCCTCTCCTCTGCATCTTTTTGTTTCCAGTGTTGTCAAACCACATTCTTTCAACCTATCTTTGTATTCAAGATTTTCAAGTCCTCTGATCATCTTTGTTGTTCTCCGCTGTACTTTCTACAAAATGTCCTTGTCCTTTTGCAGATCTGGACTCTAAGCTTGAGCACAGAATTTAAGATGTGATCGAAATAAGGTTTTGTATAGATTTAGAATGATCGACGTTTCTAAAAAAATTATTTCTCTGTATAATTTGTTCGTTCACTTTTCATTTTTTATGAACAACTTTTGTTTGTAAAGTTTTACAAAAATAAAATATTTTACTTCCTTATATTTTTTCAAACTTTAATCTTGTACGCCACCAAAACTAATGGTTTTCACCTAGCAATAATCAACAGATTAACAAACGTAAGATCAGTTAGAGAAATAAGCACGGATTCAAGAGGTTCGTAAAAGGATGTTGAATCCGGAGAAACAATGCTTTAGTTTCATCGAACATGTCTAAGTTTGTGATAAATATCATATAAAAATATGACACCTATATAACACACCAATCCAACAAGAAATTCAACTTTGCGAAAAAGTCCTGCAGGTATGTCATGTTTAAATATTTTGAGTTTGTTAGCTTTTGTTGTTTAACAAATTTTACATCGTTCAGAATTTCGTCACTAGTTTGTATTTCTTCTAATGAGATTAAACATATTCATATAAGAAATCATTTTGCTAACAACAACATTTAATGTAGTGAAAATGTTGCTTACCAGTCTTTTGAGAGTGAAGACGAATTTGAACTTTTGTTAACAGCATTCAATAATTTGCTAGAATTTTTAGCACATGAAATTAAAGAGGCAACAGTTAATGATAATGAAATGGAAGAAGATGAAACTGAAAAGATGGAAGAAGAATCAACAAATGTTGAAAAATTGAAAAAGAAGAAGCCGAACAAATGGACTGAGTACATTGGCTACAACAGTTGCATCAAACAGCGCATGAAATTAAAGAGGCAACAGTTAATGATAATGAAATGGAAGAAGATGAAACTGAAAAGATGGAAGAAGAATCAACAAATGTTGAAAAATTGAAAAAGAAGAAGCCGAACAAATGGACTATACACTGAGTACATTGGCTACAACAGTTGCATCAACCCCAGCTCTTTCTACATTAGCCACAAACATCGAGCGAAAAAAGTGTAGCACAACATTAACTAAAGTTCCAACCACGACAACGCCAAACAACGTTCCTAAATTCATATCAAAGTCGATATGGATAAGTAATTTAGATTAAACGGTAGAACAACGGTGAACGAATTGGAAACACATTTTGATATTTTGTGCTATTGCCAAAGCCACAATCCTTTTCGATAAATCAAGCGAAGAACCAAAAATTATTTACCAATGTTGAATTTATGAATACTATTTCTTCGAATCTTGCGTTGAAGTTTAACACTTCGTTTTTGCGAAAACAACAAATTAAGATTCACAGAACAAGAAGAAACACGCATAGACCGGTAGCTACAAAAACAGCAACACCAACTTCTCCTACCACTGCATTGTTCAAATTCATGAGTACCACCGCTAAAATAATCATGGCCACAACCACATCAAGCAAATCGGAATATGATGAACGGTAGATATTGATTTGTAATGTCGATCGTGTGACAGCGTTGAACGAACTTGAGTTGTATTTCCAAATTTGCGGTGATATTCTCAGAGCTTCAATCCTATTCAATAAACTAAGCAAAAACTCAATTGCTTATATCGAATTCACAAATGCTCGTCAGCCAAACTCGCTTTGGCGTTGAATGATATCGTCTAAGGAGGCCAACAGATCAAAATAAAGACCAAAAACCGTCACGTGTCAGCAGAAAACAAATGGAAATGCCTCAGCAACTGCTTACACCACTACATCATTACAAAACCACAGTGATAAAAAAATCAGAAATCGACAAAAGGTCGATATGGATAGGCAACGTAAATTGCAGTAAAACAAATATTTATTTATACAATCACGTGCACATGTGCACGCACAATTTAAAAAAAGTTATATGAGACTAAACTTAGAAAACAATTGATAAAAAGTTAAACAAATATGTATATCGTGCAATAAAAATAACTTAAGAATATTTCGAATGTTAACAACAACTCAAACTAATATAAAAATATACATAAGTACACACACAGACCAAACACACACACACAGACCAGACATACACACACACAAATTCAAACATTCATATGCAGATGTCCACACACATATACATACAATTCATGAAAATAGTATTACTTTTAAGAATGAACAGAAAACAAATTATAAAAACTTGAACAAAGAAACTGCAATTTGCGTTGCCTATCCATATCTACTTTTGTCGATTCCTATACCGTTTATTTTAAAATATTCCAATTTGTTTTCAACAAATCAAAACGGTACACACACACGCATAGACATTATTAAAAGTATTTCACACTCCTTTCATTACCATTGTTAAGCCATAATAGACATAATTATCAACACGTTTATTGTCACCGAATTCGTGTGTTAAGCAATTTTAATATTTTTAATGATTGACGAGAATTAAATATTTATAATAAACACTTCAGTGTGGAGTAGTAATTTAATTTCGAAAGATTTTAAACATATCAGTGTGAAGAATTTAATTTTTGAAAAATTATGAAGATAATATAGAAATCTTGTTTATTGCAAAACATTAATAATTGTTCAACGTAAAAAAATTTAACTGTTCCATATATTTTCAAATGTTTTCAAAATGGATTCGCTTCGCTATCCTGCACAACAAAAAAAAACCTCAAACGTCAGAAATTTAAAAGTTTGTCTTGTATTCGTATCGATATAAATTGAAAAAAAAACGATCGGTTAAATTCTGACTTTAAAAAGATTTAAATTAAAATTGCTCAATCATTTAAAAAGCTAATAATATTTTACGCGTTTAGATTTGTGCCTCATTTGAACTTTCTCCAGCATGCAGCAGCGCATAATGTTATCCTATTTGTCAAAATCATCATCTTCACTAGCATCATCCTTATCATCATCTTCTTCATATTGCTTTTTGAAAGAAAAAATCTCACCAGAAATTTTTTGTGCCTTAGAGAGAATAAAGCTTCTTGAAAGTTGAAAAGTGAAGAATATTCTCTACCCACGTGTCACCCATCATTAGTTTACAAATAATTTTATTTTATAAGAATCACAATTATTAAATTATTTTACACTATTATGATTATTCAACTCTACCTTAATTCCCATCGCAAAAATTATCACTTTACAACTAATTATCAACAAGACTCAATTTTATCTGATCATCAAATAAATTAAAGACATTAATTCGTTGGGATGAGGACCCAATTAGTCCGTAGCGAATAGTGTAACAATATTGTTCTTGATTAACATGAAAGAACACAAATCAACAATTAAGGCGGTTTAAGAAATAACTGAACTTTTTAGATTAGAAGAAATTTTGTGAGAAGTTTTATAATTTGTTTCAAAAATGAACAGAAATTTAATATCAGATTGAAAAGAGAGTGTTTTAAACTGATCCAAAAATGGAAAGTCTCAGGTTGTCAAAAACACTTGCCGATAAGATGTCAAAAATACTTGTCATTTATTAAAGTTTGACACTTTGTGGCATGATTTTGACAGGTAAGTTAGAATATTTGTGACACTTAGTGACTCTATGTAAATTGACAGCAAAGAATTCATACTATACAGCGAAACAAAGGAAGGAGTTTCATGTCCATGCAGCAACAAGTCTACATAAAGAAGTTGATTTAGGGACGGAGTTCATTCCACTCCATCTACCCGAGCGAACAACATCAACATCCATCTGCCTAGAAAATATTTGCAATTTTTAAACCCGTTGGCTAATTGAAACAAATTGACTTATATTTTAAATTCAACAATGGAGTTAAACAACAACGGAAACAACGCTTGTGATTTGAGTTTTAATATCGATACCGAGTTGAATGGGTTGAACGATTCCAACGAGTTTTTAGATTTGGCTAATTTTATAAATGGTATCGGCAGCAATGAAAGTTTTGAGCGATTTCTTTCAGATGAACTTACCGGCACAAATCAACAGAACAACGATCGAAACTTGAATGTTCATCATAGTACTAGCGAAATGACAACAAATATCAATTTTGGTGACGAAAGCCAAAATTTAATAAATCTGGAGAGTGGAAACGTCAATGTTCTTTTCGCACCTACCAATCAACCCATTCATTCCACACCAAAAAAACAACAAACATCTACCTGTTCCACTCTGACCGAGCCATTTGAGTGTACCCTCACACCCATAAAACAATCAACTACTGATTCCACAACAGCCAATCTATCAACAACTCCTTATCCAACACCCAACAATCAACAAACCATTGATTCCACTTCTATCCAACCGACTTTAAATCATTTTTCGCCATCCCAACCAGCTACAAACTATTCTACTTTTTTAAATTGTTCAACACCTAGTCAACTCCTTTCGATATATTCTAAACCTATCCAGACATCAACGCATTATAGAACACCAAATCAGCAAACAACACTTTATTTCAAACCATTACTCCAAGTATCTACGTATTGTTCTATAAACATTCAGACATCTTTTTATTCTGCGTTGTCTTCCAATTCTTCCAATTCTACTCCAATCCAATCATCAACGTTTTATAGCTCACCTAACCAGCAATCAACATATTTCACTCCAAATCAAAAATCAACTTTTTATTTCACTCCAAATCAACAATCCACCTTCTATTCCACTCCAAATCAACAATCACCTTTTTATTTCACCCCAAATCAACAATCAACTTTTTATTTCACGCCAATCCAACAACGGACGCATTGTCCCACACTAAATCAACATGCAGCCACTCCTTTCCAACCCAACCAACAGCTGACAACAGCTTACGCTACTACAACCACACCGACCACGTCAACCACGACATCAATTACAAGTGTCGATATCTCTCAAGAAAACAAAACGTCCCAATATGGACAAAATCGTGTATATCTGTCTAACGAGAGAACAGCTATACTTGAACAATATTACCAGAGTCACATAACCTTTCCGTATCCGGATCGAGAAACGAGAGAATCTCTTGCCAGTCAGTGTGGGATCTCTCATTTGCAAGTTACCAAATGGTTCAGTAACAGAAGGAACAAAGACAAAAATACAAGAGAGTTGTCTGAAATTGTCAACGTAAGAAGAAAACAAATTTAATTCATTACATGCTTCTGTGTATATAGTTTTGTTAATAGTATTTTTTTCTTATTAGTTATATATTTTTTTAAATAATAGTGAATTATTTCATTTTATTATTTCAGAACATTTTTGTGTGATAATATTTTAATGTTTATAGTTTTTTTAATTAGTGATGTCACTTTATATACAAAGATATTTTTACATTCAATTCAGATTTCTTACATTATTATCTGATTACCGTTTTTATATTTCATTGAATGAACTTTTTTTATTTAAAATTTTTTGTTTTTAATTTTACTTTGTGAGCTCGTATTGGCAAACTTTATAAATAAATTTTTGTGATGCAATAATTTTCGTTTCGTTTAATTTGTACATTTTCGAGGTTACATCAATGAAATATTAAAATGTTTATGACTCGCTCTTTTGAAATTGGTGGTGTTAAATATGACGTAACAACACTGAAACATAAAATGATCTTCATTGTGACATTTAATTATCAAAATTAAAAATAAATAATCTCTCATCTAGCATCGTTCCACCTTTCGATTCTCCGTAAGTATCTGCTACTGAAAAAAATTCTCTTTTGAATCGATGAAACATATCATTAGCTGGCAACAAATAAAAATAAATAAACGTGTGCTACATAAGTAAGAAAATATGAAAATAGTTTTCCTAGTTTATCCTACAAAAGATATTAATAATAAAAAAAAATATTTTCGCTTGCTCTCCTTGTAGTTACCTTGGTTTGGCGACCTTCAAATTATTCATTTAACGTCAACGCCACGTCATAGAATCAACGTTCATGAATTTTAAGTCGGCAAACCTTTCTGGTTTACAGTTGTACTTACTTTTTACTATAACCCGTAACTTTTCAAATGTTTTTTTTCAATTCATTCTCAGTAGTTTTATAATCCAGGCTGCTAATCCATATCGATCTTCAGGCAATGTAAAAACATTTGTCTGTGCACCACTCGCTAAAAATAAATACGTGCAGAAAGCTCCCTTCCATTAGGTGTTAACTAAAACAAAATTTGAACTAAAAAATATTTAGTTTAACGAAAGGTGAATCCAGTTGAATACATTTTTCATTTCTAAGCAAAGACTAATTTGACTTATTTTAGGGTGTAAATTAGTGTAAACAAATATAAAAAAAATTTAGTTTATGAAGTCAATAACTAAAAAAGAAATAACTAAGCATATAATATAAGAATTTGACAATGGTGATGTAATATAAATTTGATTAATGGATTTCGGGAGAGGTTTTGGCTAAATTACTTCTTTATGAAAAATTTTTATTTTTTATTAGCACAAAAACATATAAATTTTACTAATTGCTGTTTAAAAAAATGTTTAAAATCTATTACACAATTTCTAATTTGAGAGGAACCACAACCAGCCACAAACATCGTGTATGGATGCGTGCTAAACGACGCAACATACACGAAGCATGTGACTGGCGGTGGTCTTTTTGTCATGTTTTTTGTTTGTAAAAATTAATTTAATTATAATTAAGCTACTACATATAATGTTAACAATAATGGGTAAGTAATTTCTCGTTTCATTTCAATTACCAAACTTTACAACTTTTTATACACTAATAATCAACACACATAAGTCACCAATTATATTCACATATCATTATTTCTTTTACATGAACTGTTTTGAGTTATTTAACGTTGAGCCAGTCAATTTCTCAGAAGCAGAAAGGATTTCCCAAAGACAAATATAAATAAATAAATATAAATAAATAATGGGCTTAAACGTTAGTAATATATGCCCATATCAAAATAGCATTAGAAGGTAACAAAAAGCAATCAAACGACAACTTCAATTTTATGTTGTTCGTTCAGTAACCGTTGTAGCATAGTGAAGGGAGGGCAATATAACAATATCAAATAAAAAACAACTTTCCTAATCAAAGTAAAATACAAATTATAATCTTAACATTTTTAACTAAATAGAACCCCCAAATTGTTCTGGTTTCGATATTAATTTTATGAGATAAATTATGACAAATTTTGAGAACTGGTTTATAAGAAAATTTAAAATTAAAAAAACAAACAAATTTGATCAATGGAGCTTGGTTACCGATGGTTCTTTTCAAGTTTATGTTGTGAGTGTATCCTTTGTCATATTGCTCAAATAAAAAAAATTGAAAACTTCTCACGACTTTTCATACTTAATTTTTGATATGTCTTACTTCACTTTCCAATTTTCTACGTAAATTTTTATTAACTTCATGGTTCAATTTGTGAGTGTACCGTATCTGAAAGTAAAATGTTAACAATATTTTTCGTTACTTCTCTTATTTGTTACTAGTACACTACTTTTCAACCGTTACCTTGGCAAGAAAACAATGGTGCAACTTTGCTGTTTTCATTATTAATCACATGTTGCGAAGCACAAAATCTGTCGGAGCCAGTGTTCGAAAACAGGCTAAAAAAGGATCAAAATGGTTGCGAAACATGTTCCAGCGTCAATCCTAGGAAGGATGTGATATGCTAACTTGTCAGCGATGTACAAACAACATGCTCACACCATTGACAACATCCAAGTTTTTTATGTTGCAAACAATTATCAATAGTTGAAGAGACTGCTTATTTTTAGTTTCTTTTATCTTGATGACGTTGGAATAATAGTTGAAATAATAAAAATAGTGATAAAATATTGGAAAAAATTACAACAAAAAGTTGTTTGTATATGTATCAACCCACCTGCGGTTATTGTGCGAGCATAAAAACTGTTACTTCAGCTTAATCAAGTTTGATACACATTAGATCAATTTCTTTAAATTATCGCAATTATGAATCTTATCATAATTATTATTGTCATCATGATACATACTCATCATCAAACTTGTCGTCGCAATCTTTATCATCAACATCCTTTCTGCGAAATAGAAATTATTAAACTTTATCTGAATAAAAGTTAAATTATTAAAAAATTAATTTTCAATATTCTAATAATAAAGAAAGTTTTGTTCATATGTTATGTAATTAAGTTTCTCAAAATTGTACATTGAATAATGAACCAATAAAAATAATATAAGAGCCACAACTAATTATTAAAATAATTATAACCTAATCATTAAGAAAATTATCAATGTAATCGTTATAACTTTATAATTAAATAATTATGACTTGTGTCAAATTATCACTTTGGATCACTTTTATTGATTATTGATTAATAAGATAATAGATAATTGTTTCATTTTATTCAATTTATAAATCTATATGGTGCCTTAGAAAGAATAAAGCTTCTTGAAAGTTGTAAAGTGAAGAATATTCTCTACGCACGTGTCACCCATCATTAGTTTGCTAATAATTTTATTTTATAAAAAACACCATAACTAAATTATTTTATACTATTATGATCATTCAATTCTACCTTAATTTCAATCGCAAAAATTAATTTACAACTAATTATCAACAGGATTCACTTTCATTTGATCATCAGATAAATTTATATTAATATTTGAACGGTGAAGATTTTGAATTATTTGGGGTGTGGACCCAATTTGTCCGTAGCAAATAGTGTCACAATATTTTTTTTTGCTTAACATGAAAGAACACAAACCATCAATCAATTTAAGAAATAACTGAACTTTTTGGATTAGAAGAAATTTTGTGAAACATTTTATAATTTGTTTCAAAAATTAACCAACATTTAATATCAGAATGAAAAGAAAGTGTTAAAAACTGATCCAAAAATCGATAGATTAAAGTTGCCTTGTCGATAAGTTGTCAAAAACACATGTCACTTATTAAAATTTGACACTTTGTGACAAGATTTTGACAAATCTATATTGGGCCCTAGAGATCATAAACTTCATGAAAGTTGTAAAGTGAAGAATATTCTCTACGCACGTGTCACCCATCATTAGTTTGCTAATAATTTTACTTTATAAAAAACACCATAACTAAATTATTTTATACTATTATGATCATTCAATTCTACCTTAATTTCCATCGCAAAAATTATCACTTTACAACTAATTATCAACAGGATTCACTTTCATTTAATCATCAGATAAATATTTCTCTCTATCCACTAAAGTTAATATTTGAACGGTGAAGATTTTGAATTAGTTGGGATGTGGATCCAATACTTTTTGGATTAGAAGAAATTTTGTGAAACATTTTATAATTTGTTTCAAAAATTAACCAACATTTAATATCAGATTAAAAAGAAAGTGTTAAAAACTGATCCAAAAATCGATAGATTAAAGTAGCCTTGTCGATAAGTTGTCAATAACACATGTCACTTATTAAAGTTTGACACTTTGTGACAAGATTTTGACATGTCAGACAGAATATTTGTGACACTTAGTGACTCTTTTTAAGTTGACAGCAAAGAATTAATAGTTTGCTAGGAAACAAAAGAAGGAGTTTCATGTCCATGCAGCAACAAGTCAATATAAAGAATTTGATTGTAGACGGAGTTCATTCCACTCCATCTACTCGAGCGAACAACATCAACATCCATCTGCCTAGAAAATATTTGCAATTTTTAAACCCGTTGGCTAATTGAAACGAATTGACTTATATTTTAAATTCAACAATGGAGTTAAACAACAACGGAAACAACGCTTGTGATTTGAGTTTTAATATCGATACCGAGTTGAATGGGTTGAACGATTCCAACGAGTTTTTAGATTTGGCTAATTTTATAAATGGTATCGGCAGCAATGAAAGTTTTGAGCGATTTCTTTCAGATGAACTTACCGGCACAAATCAACAGAACAACGATCGAGACTTGAATGTTCATCAAAGTACTAGCGAAATGACAACAAATATCAATTTTGGTGACGAAAGTCAAAATTTAATAAATCCGGAGAGTGGAAACGTCAATGTTCTTTCCAAAGATACCCAGCAACCCATTCATTCTACACCAATCAAACAACCAACCGCAATCTGTTCCACTCTGACCGAGCCATTTGCATGTAACCTCACATCCATCAAACAATCAACTACTGCATCCACAACAGCCAATCTATTAACAACTCCTAACCCGACACTAAACAATCAACAAACCATTGATTCCACTACTATCCAACCGACTTTGAATCATTCGTCGCCATCCCAACCAGCCACAAACTATTTTACTATTTCATATTGTTCAAAACCCAGTATAAGGCCTTTGATAAAGCCTATCCAGACATCAACGCAATATAGAGCACCAAATCAGCAAACAACACTTTATTACACACCATCACTCCAAGTGTCTACATATTTGTCTAAAAACAATCAGACATCTTCTTTGTATTCTACGCCTATACAACCATATACACACAAACATCTGTCTTCGTTGTCTTCTAACCCTACACCAATCCAATCATCAACGTTTTATAGCACACCTAACCAGCAATCAACATATTTCACTCCAAATCAAAAATCAACTTTTTATTTCACCCCAAATCAACAATCACCTTTTAATTCCACGTCAATCCGACAACGGACGCATTGTCCCACACTAAATCAACATGCAGCCACTCCTTACCAACCCAACCAACAGCTGACAACAGCTTACGCTACTACAACCACACCGACCACGTCAACCACGACATCAATTACAAGTGTCGATATCTCTCAAGAAAACAAAACGTCCCAATATGGACAAAATCGTGTATATCTGTCTAACGAGAGAACAGCTATACTTGAACAATATTACCAGAGTCACATAACCTTTCCGTATCCGGATTGTGAAACGAGAGAATCTCTTGCCAGTCAGTGTGGGATTTCCCAATCCCAAGTCACCAAATGGTTCAGTAACAGAAGGAACAAAGACAAAAATACTCGAGAATTTTCTGAAATTGTAAACGGAAGAAGAAAACAAATTTAAATCATTCCATGCTTCTCTGTATATAATTTTGTTGAAAGTATTTTTTTCTTATTAGTTATATATTTTTTTAAATAATGGTGAATTATTTCATTTTATTATTTTAGACCATTTTTGTGTGATAATTTTTCTGTGGTATATAATTTTGTTGATAAATATGTGATAGTAATTTTCCTTATTAATTATATATTTTTTTAATAATTGTGTAATTAATTCATTTTATTATTTTAGACTTTCTATTTCGTGTTGTAAGTTTTTTTACGACGATATTTTTACAATCCATTTTGATTTGTCACTCTATTACCTGATTAACGTTTTTATATTTCAATGAATAAATTTTTTTATTTAATATTTTTTTAATTAATTTTGTGAGCTCGTATTGGAAAATTTTATAAATAAAATTTTGCGATGCAATTTATTTCAAGATTGTTAGAGTAATTTCTTTTCGCTTAATTCGTACATTTTCGAAGTTTTCAAACTTAAAGGTCGATGTTTTCAAAATGAGGTTAGACTAATGAAATTATTAAAATGTTTGGGACTCGCTCTTTCGAAATTGGTGGTGTTAAATATGACTTAACAACACTGAAACATCAAATGGTCTTCATTGTGACTTAAAATTATCAAAATTAAAAATTAATTAATTTCTTGTCAAGCAACGTTGAACGTTTTGATTCTCAGTAATTATCTGCAACTGAAATAATTTCTCTTTTGAAACGATGAAAATTATCTTCAGCTGGCAACAAATAAAAGTAAATAAACGTGTGTTAAGTAAAAATATATAAAATAATTTTCCTAAAAGTAATTAGAAATAAAATAAATAGTTTCACTTGCTCTCCTTGGCGACCTTCAAATTAAAATTTATTTAACGTCAACGCCACGTCATAGAATCAACGTTCATGAAATTTTAATTAGGCAAACACTTTTGGTTTACAGTTGTACTTATTTCTTACGATATCACGTAACTTTTCAAATGTTCTTTCAACTCATTCACAATAGTTTTATAATCCAAGTTGCAAATCCATATCGGTTTTCAGTCGATTTCCGATTTGACATCAGATGTTGAAGTTGTGACTTCAGTTGACGACATGACGTCTGCGGCTGAAAGAGCAGTAATAGAAGTTGATATCGCAGCTCTTTTAGGCACTGTGCTTAGCGAATCATTCCCCGGTTTCGCTACTTCATTCTTAACCGTTTTTTCTTTTTTGCTTCCACTTTCAACTCTTGAGCCCTTTCTATATCATTCTCTAATTGGTCCATGATATCGTTTAATGTAGCTGGCTGCAATTCCTTTTCACATAACTTGCATATTCATTGCTGGAATGTTCAATTCTTTTGGTAGTAGACATTTTTTTTAGTAATATTCCAAAAATTATTTTATTCATTATTTATTACAAGTTTAATTAAAATTTAAAATTTATTATGAATTTTAAGACGAATCTCTATTAATATGCTGTTCAAAATTGATAATAGTTCAAGAAAATTATTTTTATTTTGACCATGTTACTATATTTGGCCATATTTTGGGCGACACGCTTAAGGAGCCTGGCATTGCTGATGCGGTGTTTGTCCGTGTTCAAACGAAAAGAGATCCCCGCCTTTCACTTGCAAAAGTGTTGATTTGTCTATATTTCTACACTGAGTGTTTGTTGTATTAACGTCTGAGGACTATCTTGAAGAGAAAAATAACAATAATAATAAAAATATTGCAACTGGAGAAGTAGAGTAGGGATGAAAAGATGCAGTTGTATCCTAAAAATTAGTTTGCCTTTTCTATTTGGGTGCTGTCTTCTTATTTTTTTTCATTCCTAATAAGAAAATTCTTTTAATTTCTTTTTGTTGTAGTTGTCAAAAGAAAGACCAGAATTCTAATTCTATTTCCAAATCCTCAACAGAGGTTTGCGAAAGAGAAGCGAATAACGATGGTAATCTTTGTTGCAGTGTCATGTTGTCAGGTTTCTCAAAATTGTAAATGGAATAATTTCTTCATATGCGTTTCACCCAAATGATCAAACAATAATATTTATATTACAAACTCACCTTTGTTAATTTAATTAAGAATTTTTATTATTATCATAATAACAAAATATTTTAATTCGCGTGTTTGTTTGATGTCTGAGGTTTCTTGTTCTTTGAAGTTTGCCCCTTTGTGAGGCGTTCGTTTGTCCATTCGTCTGATATAAGTGATGTTCATGTTGAGTTTACTCTTTTGTTGACTAATTTTTATTGAGTTGACGTTGTTTCTTCGATGATATTAAGTTGATTTTGCTGTAATTTGTGATATGTTATTGCTATCAATAATTTTTTAAATGTCATTTTCATTGTTGACATTTTTTCTATTCTTTAGTATGCACCTCTGGCTGTCAAATAAAGATTTGCGTACACGTTTCAAGGTAGTTTGAAAATGTTTCAATCCCATTGAACAAATGTTAACAATTAAAGCTGCATTTTCGTAGACTGGCAAATATTTCAAATAAAGTAAAAATATAAAAAAATAACTATTAACATTTAGTTAACTAATAATCATTGATAAAATCCTCTACAAGTATCAATGAAACTTTTTCAATTTTGAGTCAAAAATTACTGAGATTTACTTGCCAGTACCAGAAGGGACCAAATCTCCACCAGAAAAAATGTATTGAACACCATGAGCATATTGTATCAACGAGCGGGTGAAAATATTTAGGAAAAATGGTTAAGTTAGAACATAGTTTATTTAATTATCTACTCTTTTTCTCTTTTTATAATTTTATTCATGACTTAAGCAACCAAATAAATCAATTTATGAAATGTGAAACTTGAAAATCAAAGTTATTGAATTGTTGTTAGGAATAAAATCATTAAAAGCAATCTTTTTTCAATTAAAATGACGAACTGCAACGTAAAAACCTAAACTTTCAAATATAAACAAAAAAAATGAATATTTTAATTTTACTGATAGCTTTATTGTTGAAACTTTTTGCAAGTAAAAATAATAAAATTTGATCTGAAGAAATTTGTGAACATTTTTTGTCAATTTGAAAACTTTACAAAACCGCAGAGAAATCTCTTCAAGAAGAGTTCGACTTACTGTACTACGATGAGAGAAACAAACAACTCAACACCGATGGCTTCAACACACAGGTGGTTATAATTTTTCCAATTTTATTCAGTCACACCGCCTGCCTTTAAAATTAAAGTTATAGAAAAATATGACCATGTTATTAGACAGGCAAATGGATTTGTGCTTTGTAAAAATTCTAGAACAATTTATACGTAACTTTTAGATAATTTTCTTTTTAACGAGCTGAAAATAAACGCTCATTCAACAACAGAACTGATGCAAGAGACAATTATTCAATGAAAAAGTTAAAAAATCATTTCCAATTTTGACTTGATTTTCAAGATTTAGTTCGCCTTGTTTGTGTAAATTTTGTATGACTCTTCTGATGCGACAAATGTTCGTCAGAGAGAATGCAGATAACAAATTTGTGAAACAAATTTTTGCAATAAACCGTGTCAGGGAGGTCACCTATATTATAATTAAAAGTTGAGCGCTATGACATTTGTTTCGGGAGATAAGGGGCGATAAAAGAACGGAACGAGGAGAGATTGGAACGAATATAGAACGTTGTTGAACGAGCGAATTGAATATTGTGAAAACGAATTTGGAATGAATATTGTGAAAACAAATTTGAATAAATATTATTTGAAATTAAATTTATTTAATAAATTTAATACAAAAACGTTGAATTGAATAGAATATTGTTAAAATATTGCCAAAACGGATAAAACAATATTAAACTAATATATAAAAATAATCTTAAGAAATTTTGAACGATAAAAATATTCAATATGTTATTATAATGTTCTGTTGCCGAATTAAATTATAATTTCTGTTGATTGTCTAGTTTCATTGATCTTGATTATTGACGTTATATTAGTGACGAACCTGACATCTGGCGCAGTCGACAGGGTAACTAGGCAGGTCTACTATCAACAGAAAAAAAAAGGAGAAGGAAAAAAAAAAAAAATTTTTTTGAGAATATTGATTATATCATTACAATATAATGGATAAATTGGCAGAAATTAAAAAAATGTCTACCGAGCGCTTAATGACGAAAATGATTAAATCAGGAAGGGATGAGGCAGAGGTACGATCAATGTCAAGACAAGAGATTATCGATGCATGTCTCGCTAGCGAATTGATGAGAACAGAACTTCTGACCGAAACATCTGAACCTCCCCAGAACGTAACTGAAACGGAAAGATGGAAATTTGAGAAAGAACTTGAATTTAAAGAAAGACAAGCGGCGAAGGAACTTGAATTTAAAGAAAGACAAGCGGCGAAGGAATTTGAATTTAAAGAAAGACAAGCGGCGAGGGAATTTGAACTGAAAGAACGAGAACTCGAATTGAAAGAAAGACTAAAGGAAGAGTTAAAATTAAAAGAAGATGAAATGAGATTGAAAGAAGATGAACTCAGATTAAAAAGGGAAGAATTTTTATTAAAACAAAAGGAAAGTAATTCGCTAATTAATAGAATTAAAAAGTTCAGCGACACGATGAAAGAACAATTGTGGAAAATGCCCCAAAACCCTAGTGAACTACCAACTTTTTTTGTACATCTCGAAAACGCTTTCTGTTCTAATGGAGTTGATCAAGATGTCAAGTCAAGACTTCTTCAAATGTGTTTACACGATAAAGCGAAGTCTATTATAACTCGATTAACAGTGCAACAATTAGATGATTATAATACTTTGAAAGAATTTCTACTGAGCGAGTTTAGAATCAGTCCAGTCAAATTGCGAGAACAATTTTTCGGCACGAAAAAAATACCAAATGAAACGTACCAACTATTATTATCGAAGTTAAAAAGCTTATGGAATTTTTATCTTAAAAGCAGAGAGATTGGAACAGATTTTCATAAACTAGTGAACTTATTAATGGCCGACCGAATGAAGGAGTTGCTACCCAGAGACTGTTTAAATTTCGTTCTTAGCCAGGAGCAAGATGGCTGGTTAGATTGTGATAAGTTAGCACGAATAGCTGATAATTATGCCGCGACATACGTCAAGGATAATAACAGATCATATCATCGTGAAACGGAACAAAATTCTTTTGTTAACACTGCATTTACTCAGTTTGATACAAGACAGAAAGCGAATCCACGCATATTGGACAAAACTAAAGAAGAAGCTATGAGAAAAGGATTATGTTTTAAATGTCGACAACCTGGTCATCTATCAAAAAACTGCAACAATTCATTTAAAATACAAAGAAATTCAGTGCAGCGCAGATTGGAAGTAAACAATAGTTATCAATATAATCGAAATACCCGAGATATTCAGTGGAAACATTTCTATAGAAGAAAATTCGTCGATATTGCTGTGGAAGGTGTACTACCCCAAAAGGCATTGATCGACGGAGGCGCAGAGATTTGTTGTATACGACGAGATCTCATCGAACCGTCAAAGATGAAAGTGCAAGGAAAGATTTCAATTCTTGGACTACGAGGCGAAGCGAATGTGTTTGATACGGTGAAGCTAGAAGTTCTGCCAATAATAAATAATTCACCAGGGAAAACATATACTGTACCCCCGACGCCAGTTTTATTTGCGGTGATACCAGACTTAAACGAAAAAATAATTATAACACCGAATATTGCAGAATGGTTAGATAAATTAGAGAAGGAAATACCAATTTTAATCAGAGACCATCACATTGCCAGCAAAGCTAACGAAAGCCTTCAGAACGATAACGCCGACCATGATGAAATAAAGTTAGTAGAAGTAAATAATGACAAAGACGATGAGGTTACATTTAAAGATGAAGATGATGACGAAGATGACGGTATGAAAGTTAATGATGATAATTACCATGATGACCACGACGAGGATTGTGAATTCATTGATAGGACGAATGCTTTAATTAATGAAGACGGAACCAATGATTATAATGAGCAAAACAATGATGGAGATGATAGATTCAGAAACAAATATAACTGCGAAAATAAAAATTACTTCAACGACAAGAACAAGGACGATGATGATGAAAAGGAGAACCTAAACAATGATGAAAAAATTAAAATTGATGAATGCCGAGATGACGAGAACAGAAATGGTGGGAGCAGAGATGATGATGAGATGGAGTACAAAGACACAGTAGCCATGTTGTTCAACGACGGATCCCACACTAAGAATAGTATGACGATTGACATGAATAACGATATGAAACCTGAAATACAAAGAATTGACATCGTAACGGTACATGCTATAGACGATGATGATGAGGATGTGAAACAAAAGGTTTTATCGACAAAAGAGGATGTAGCTAAAAGATCAGCGAATGCAAAAGAACTATTGATTGAACAGATGACTTGTTCTTCGTTAACTGATTGCTGGAAATGGGCGAAAAAAGGCAAAAGGAATTTTATTATAAAGGATAACCTTCTTTATCACCAGGATAAGCTATTAGGTCAAAGAATTTTTCAGTTGTGTCTACCGGAAAATAGAGTGCCCATTGTTTTAGAGATGGGACACGATGCATCATTTGCAGGACATATGGCTATGAAATCCACGATGCACCGAATAAAATTGAATTTTTGGTTCCCTGGAATGGAAAAAAAGATTAAAGATTACTGCCAAACTTGTTCAATCTGTCAATTACGAGCTCCCATCAAGGTCGCTCAAAGAATCCCCATTACGCCGATACCAAGGGACGAAGAAAAACCTTTTACCCATTTAATAATGGATTGTATTGGACCAATTATTCCAACTGACGATACAACGCAGCGAAAACCAGATTATAATTATGCATTGGTTGTTGTAGATAAATTTTCTAGATGGCCTATGGCATATCCTTTAAGAACCTTGAAGGCCACTAACATATGTGAAGCGTTAATTCAAATATTCATGATTTTTTCAATTCCTCAAGTTATTAGTTCTGACCGTGGGACTAATTTTACCAGTAATCTGACGCAAGAATTTTTGAAAAAATTAGGATGCAGTCCGCGTTTTAATACTCCTGGACATCCGGAAGCTGCTGGTTTAGTGGAGCGTTGTAATCAGAGCCTTAAGACGATGATCTTTAAATTGGCACAACAGAACCCAAAGGATTGGCATAAATTTCTGCCTTTTGTTCTTTGGAGCTTACGGGAAAAACCCTCATCAACTACGCACGTTAGCCCATATACCTTGGTTTTTGGTACAATACCCAGGGGACCACTATCTTCGCTGAGGGAATCATGGAGTGAGGAGCAACATATACCATTCAATGTCGGAAAAAAAACTGAAGAATATTTGAAAACCTTGAACGAAAACCTAGACTATGCTAAGGCACATGCAGAGTTTTATTCGGATCTTGAGCAAGGCAAATATGCTCATTTCTATAACCTAAGAAGCACTGATAGAAAATATCATTTGGGGGATAAAGTAGTTATTTTGTCAACAAATTTAGGGGAAAGTAAACTTCATAACCGATGGCGGGGACCAGGCGTAATCGTAGAAGTGAAGTCACCATACTCATATATTGTTGAAATAGATGGAAAACGACAACATGTTCACGCCAATAAAATCAAACAATACTATGAGCGGATGGAACAAGCTATGATATCGAGCTGCACCCTCATAAGAGAAAAGGATGTGGAACTAGGTAGAATAACAACATTTGAGAAAGACTATCAGAATATCTATTGTCAACTAGATCCCCGAAAGTTGGATCATCTTTCGACGCTGGGAAAAGAAGAGATTAACACGGTAATACAACTACACCGACAAGCTTTTTCCAACCAACCAGGATTATATAGAGCCATCGAACATGAAATCAAAATACTACCGGAATTTGTACCCAAGCAATTTAGACCATACAAAGTACCTGAATTGTTAAAAGAATCAGTGAAACTACAAATCAAAGATATGTTAGAAACAGGAATCATTATACCGTCGAAAAGCGAGATGGTAAGCCCGATGGTTTGCATATTGAAAAATTCCGGAGATGTGAGACTCGCCATAGATTACCGTTATGTGAATAAATTTTCTGCGAATGATTGCTTTCCCAATCCGGATATACCAGATGTATTACAGCGGGTGGGTAGAGCAAAGTACATCAGTTGTTTCGACGCAAAGTCGGGGTATTGGCAAATCCCGATGAAGCAAAAATCACAATGGCTTACTGCGTTTGTTTGTGAAGAAGGTGTGTTTGAGTTTACCCGAATGCCTTTTGGCCTCAAATCAGCCGGGAATACATTTGTCCGAGGAATAACACAGATTTTGAAGGATGTTAGGGAATTCACTGAACCGTTTATAGATGATATCGCAATATTCTCAGATTCATGGGAGGACCATATGAAACATTTAGACCAGTTTTTAAGCGTGATACAAAAAACGGGATTGACGCTAAATATGACAAAATCTACGTTCGCCCAGAATAAAGTAAAGTTTGTTGGACACATAATTGGATCCGGATCCATAGAAATAGATAAATCAAAATTAGAAACTTTAGATAGAATGAACCCGCCAACAACGAAAAGAGATCTGAGGAAGATGATTGGATTCTTCAGTTATTTTAGAAACTTTATCCCGATGTTGGCAGATACGATACACGTCATCACCAACCTTACACGCAAAAATGCACCCAGTAAAGTACAATGGGAAGAAATCCATCAACAAGCATTTAATAAGATAAAACAACAATTAATGGATGTTACCGCAACACATACGATTGACTTTGCTAAGGAATTCGGAATATACGTTGATGCTAGTGAGGTAGCAGTAGGGGGTTGTTTAATACAATGGTCGGAGGAAGGAAAAGAATTGCCTATCGCATTTGCAAGTAAGAAATTAATATTAGCACAAACAAAATGGTCAACGATCGAAAGAGAGGCATTTGCCGTTATTTGGATATTGGAGAAATTCCGACAGTGGATATGTTTGTCGCGGATAGTCATATTTTCCGATCATAACCCATTGAAGTACCTGTTGGAAACGGCTCCAAGAAGCGCTAAATTGACCCGCTGGGTTTTATCATTACAGGAATATAATATAGAATTTAGATATCACCCAGGTTGTAAGAACGTAGTAGCGGACTTCCTATCACGAAATCCACCCATTGATAACTCAGAGATGCCTAAAGATGAGGAATAAAAGGGAGGATGATGACATTGCTCCCCCCTGTCATCATTTTTGGGTGGGGGGTATGTCAGGGAGGTCACCTATATTATAATTAAAAGTTGAGCGCTATGACATTTGTTTCGGGAGATAAGGGGCGATAAAAGAACGGAACGAGGAGAGATTGGAACGAATATAGAACGTTGTTGAACGAGCGAATTGAATATTGTGAAAACGAATTTGGAATGAATATTGTGAAAACAAATTTGAATAAATATTATTTGAAATTAAATTTATTTAATAAATTTAATACAAAAACGTTGAATTGAATAGAATATTGTTAAAATATTGCCAAAACGGATAAAACAATATTAAACTAATATATAAAAATAATCTTAAGAAATTTTGAACGATAAAAATATTCAATATGTTATTATAATGTTCTGTTGCCGAATTAAATTATAATTTCTGTTGATTGTCTAGTTTCATTGATCTTGATTATTGACGTTATATTAGTGACGAACCTGACAAACCGGTTGAGGAATATGAAAAAAATATAAAATGTGTCACCTAACAAAGTTAAAAAACTAAAAAAATTTTGGTATTTCCAGGGTTAAAAACTCATCATATAAACGAGTTAACATTAGATAAGCAACAAGTGTCATAACATATTGAATACAAATGTAAATAGCTGAGAATTTGGAGTTTTGTTTTGTTCAGATATATCAATTAAATTCCAAACAATTATTAAACTAGTTTGAAAGATCACATTAAGTTAACTAGAAAAGCATTTTTTCAAAAATTTTCGAATTTATGGGAACAAGCAAAATTATTCAAACTTCAATTTAAAAAAGAATAAACTGAACTCGTCATTAAATTAAAACTATTTGCCAGGAACATTCCTCACTGAAGATTAAATTCGTAAAAAAGAACACCACGCAGTTTAAAATATTTTTGCGTTTAAACAGGTAGTATTGTTGTTATCAACTGAATGAAATTACTTTAACGTTCATATTTCCTATTAATTTTTTAAGGTACATTCTGTCAGATAATTTTGAAGCGAAAACTGTTGACCAAAATAATGAAATCCAAAAAGGGCAAACAAAAGTTAGTGTCATAGGCAGCATTTCATTTATTAACAAGAATCAATAGTTACTATATTATGGCTATGTAATAAAACTTATAACTCTGCTGTTTGTTTAGTTATTCTTACCTTTTTCATCGCACTGGCTACCTATAAAAAATTACATATTTGAAAATTTGCACATTAATGTACGCTTCAATCTAACTTTTATCCAAAGTGTTTATCAGAACCTTACCTTACCGCCAAACCTTAGCGTATAATCACATTCAGTAACTTTCTGTTCCATACAATTTAATGTTACCTAACGAATATATAAACGATAGGAGCCTTCTAAAAAGAGATTAGGTTGTCATTATCATGGAAACGTTGATGGCATTCCTTCACAATTGGCTGCAATTTCACTATGCTCCGGTGTCAGGTGTTACAAATAATCATATTAATCCGAGTTGTTTGCAATATGAAATTAATTTTGCTGTTGGAATAACTTGTTCAGTGGTTTCTATGAGAGAAAAAATGAAGCTTTTGAGTTGAGGTCGAAGTCTAAAGGAACGTTGGAGAGAGTCGTTGTTAAAAAATCTGTTAGGAAGAAACGTTCTTGTGGTAAATTTATTTGTAAAAATTGTAATGAATTTGTTTCGAAGAATTAATTTTCATTATAATAAATTGAAATTGTTTAAAAATCAAACTTGAACAAAATGGAAATGTTTTTTTTTCTGTAGTCGGAATAGTAAATTTTTCAAGTATTAGCAAAATATTTTTATGTTTATTATTGTAAAAATTGTTTGACAGTAAGTAAAAATATAGTTGATAATTTAATACCATACAAGTGTTGACTTTTACATTTTAGGGATAAGTTTTCTCATAATATTTTATGCCTATTGTTTCTAATTCATTTCATGGTAACCACCTTTTTGATAAATAGAGTACATGAATTTAATTCATTTTAAAATTTGGTGTTTGAAACGTTTGTAAACAAGTGTACTTAAAACTAGTTTCAAAATTTTAAATTGATCAAGAATTCAATCAATATTTAGTTGAAAACTATTTTAAACTGATTAAATCATAAGTCTGCAACATATATATTCGGTTTTTCCATTAGGAGTGCGTAAATTATTTGGGACCAACAAAAAAGGTTTGAGAAATGTCAAAAAGGTGATAAAAATGATTTATTATGATGATTACTTTTTGTTAATATACATTTTATAATTTTTAAGCTGGTTCAAAGAAACGTGACCAAACTACTGGACAGAGAAGTCAGAGTTGTCAAAATATACATTATCGTTGATACTACTGTGGTAAATATACTTTGTGTTATGATATGTACTAGAGGTGGGCCTGGAAATGGTAAAATAGATTTCACGGTTTCTAAGGGAATTCTTATAAAATTTAAATTTTTTTTGATCTATTAAAAACAAGTTTTAGGGAAACGGGAACAAGTCAGAAATAGAAATAGATTAGGGAGAGGAATAACCTACGGAAATGAAAATTTTTTTCACAGAGTTAAGAAAATTTTAAAATCTTTAATTATTATGTTTTAACCACTTGCAAACAAAAATGGATTGGATGATGTCGCTGGTTTTAGAGACATACACGAACCGGATAATTCAACACATAATAGAAAACGATTACCTAATTGCTGTAAGTTGAAAGTCGACAAAGACATGTGTCATTTTAGAGAAAATGTAAGGCAGCACACCCACTACTATTTGTAGTTGTTTGCCAAATTACAAACAGAGCTACGACCTCATCTGTCATTAAAAGAGTTTTTGCATTGCTGGTCGAATTTTAGATAACAAAATGAAGAACTGTCTTATCTGCAAACAGTGTCAATAATTTATTTCACATAGCAGCATTGAATAACATTGTAATACCTATATTGTAAAACGAATTATTAGTTTTTGGATATATGTTTCTCACAATGTTTTTATGTCGAGCAAAAATGGTTTCATATACTTGAAAGTTATTGCTAACGGGAAAGAGACGGAACGGTATTTAAATTCCTCTTCAGGAATGGTAGGAAAATGGGAATATAATAGTCAGTAGCATTGTGATTCGAAGAGAAATGAGAAATTCGGAAAAGAATGAGAGAAAATAAGAATAAAAAAACTATTCCAGTCCACCTCTACTACAATAATTTAAATTTTATCCATATATCAAATTTTGAAATTATTTTTCAGGTTTAATTCTTTTGAATAATGTTAAATATTTTAAAGAGTGATTAGGCTTGATAGCACATTTATTTTCATTCTAGTGTGGATTAATAATAAAAATTTTGCTCATTTTACATCAAATTTTCTTTTATTAAACCTTTCAACATACTCAAAAAAACTCGATGGTTGAATTAAGGCAATCTCTGTTTATCGTTATAAGTTAAGATATACATACATATATACATACATTTCCATAAATTCTACGATTGTAAGTAAATGCCGGTACCAAAAATTAAAAACTATTTGGAAGGTGTTATGAAACATGTTCATTCACGTATAAAATTTTAAATAAAAACAGTACAGGGGTTTCAATAGAGATCAGAATGTAACGTCGGATTTTATATTGGATGTGCTCAATAGCGCATCAAGGGTTTGTATTCTCTTTGTTCATTTTGTTCGTTTCCATAAAACTGAAATGATAAGTCGAAAATAACATTCTTTCTGATATTTGTAAAATATAGCATTTTTTGAGATAAAAAAAATTTCAATTGCGACTGCACGATTCCGTTATCATCATCTCTTTTTCGTTCATGTGAAATTGTGTAATCTGTGTAAAAGTGTTTATCCTTTTTCCAAGGGTCGATGTATCAATGATAGACTTCGATGGCTTAATGGAAAATACACTTAATATGATAATTACCCCATAGCAGGTTTATGCTAATTACTCAGCTGCAATATGCTAATTACCCCTTACAACTCTCGGAAATAATATTCATTATGCAAAGGCCGTATAATTTATTCTACAACAAATGCTCTTCTTTGTTTTGACGTGTTTGTCATGAGTTTGAGAGATTTTGCCGAGGACATCAAAAATTTAATTAATACTTTATCGCAAGAAGATGAAAATCAACATACATTTTTTTAAAGAAAAATATATGTTATGGCTTCCAGTCGGACATAAATTTTTTAGCGATTTAGAAATCAAATTTTTAATTAAGTTTTTTTTTAAATTTTGATTACAGTTCAACTAAAATTTAAAAAATTTATTTATTTTTGGTAAAAGAAAGATTCGCCAATATACTCAAGACAAGACTATACAAATGGTCTGAAGATTGACAAAAGCTAATTAACACAGACAAATGTAAAGTTATGCACATGGGAAAAAGGAACAAAGGCTTTCAGTATCAACTGAGCAATAAGGACCTTCGATCTACAGATAAAAAAGGACCTATTCATAAAAGCACAAAAAAATCAAGACAATGTACTTTGACAGCAGCCACAGCAAATCAAATACTTGGATGTATTAGAAGAACATAGTGAACAGAGAGTAGTCGATCATTATAAATTTGTATAAAACATTAGTTCGCCTTTATTTCGATTACCGTTCACAGATTTGGAGTCCAGATCTGCCAAAGGACAAAAAACATTTGAGTACAGCAAAAAGCAACAAAGATGATCGAAAAAGTTGGACAACTAGAATATAGGGATAGACTGGGAAAATGCGGATTAACAACACTAGAAAGGAAAAGATGCAGAGGAGATCTGATTCAGACATATAAGTTTAGAACTGGTAAAGAAAAAAACAAGAAAAGGATTAAGAAGTCATAGAAACAAGCTCTTCAAGAAGACAGAAAATCTAATAAAGCAAAGATTCTTTAGCAGCAGGATGGTAATCGCCTGAAACGAGCTGAGCGATGAAATTGTTTCAGTGGATTCAATCAACAACTTTAAAATCAAGCTAGTAGAGCTAGGATACTAGGACATTTATTTTGTAGTTGATCTTACACAGACACTACTCTACTGGACAATTTTAAACTTTGTTATGTTATGTTTTATTGAAAATAAATTATGAAGCGCATCTTTATTTTGTTTTGATTATTATATGAACCAACTTTTTGTAATGATACTGGCGTTGGCGACCTCATCCAGGTTGTCACAGTTCACGATGGATTGAATTCAGTTTAATTTTTGGGTAATTCAAAAATTAGGTCAGAGTTGCAACATTTGAGGAAAGGTTTTTGAAATGTTCAAAAATTGTAACAAAACATGAATGCATTTATGAAATTTTCTATTTCCTCCATTTTTTTAGTGTACCGCAAAATTTTCAAGCCATCGAAAATACGTATGTCACTGAAACTCAACATCTAAACTTACGATATTGCTAGTTTTATTTAAATTAGCCTGATATAGATCTCAATTTTTACTTTAAATTTTAAGTTAAAAATTATAGTAAATCCAAAAATAATTTGGGGTATTTTAAAAAGTTTTTTGAATGTGTTATTAACTTTTCTGATGTCCTTCTAGCATAAAAAAGAAACCAAACTTCATTTGAACAGTTCTATCACAGGCTAGATATCTTTTTGACTGTTGTGCGTCTTATAGTTTGGAAGTCACCAAGAATACATTTCAGAGCAAATACGACTTCAGAAGAGCTGATACAAGATTTTACATTATACGTCAAAAAATACATATTACCACAATCTAATATCCAAGATGTACCATTGCTGATTACGTAAGTGTCGCTATTCATAATGATTTTCTGAAAACGTTTTCACAACTTATTGATGCAAATTAATGTTTACAAGAAAACAGTTTCGGCCTCCTACCGCCGACACAGGAATTGGATCTTTCTTTTCAATGTGCCGGGCTAGCGCTGCGTTCTGGATATCGGTTGATTACATTTTATGTAGATATAAATAAAATAATTTGACATTGGGTTAAAAATACAATATACGGTTGTCAGCCATAATCATTTGGCTACTAAATGTTTAAAAATGTTGTTAAAATATAAATGATAAATAAAAATTAAAAATTGTTTGTAAATATATCTGTATTGTTAGGTTGCAGGAAAATAGTATTTATTACTTTTTAAACATAATACTTAGTTTAAGTGATTCTTTGGAGTCAATAAATAAGGAACACACAGATATAGGAATATAAAAGATACAACTAATATTTGATAACATATTACATTGAAAATGGTAAAAGATTATCAAAAAAAGCTTTTTTGTATAAAATAATGATTAGAAGAGGAGTTAAAAACTTTGTTTTTTGGATAAGTAAGTTAAAAAACAATGATAAAATTACGGTAGGAATATTGAAAAACTGAGCCAGAAACTGATCAAAGCTGAAAATTCAGTGATATTTCTTAGTAAATGAATATATATATATATATATATATATATATCAAATAATTGAATATATATATATATATATAATATATTTATTTATGTATTTATATATCTATTTATAGATCTTTTTAATGATAATTATTGTTACAAAAAATTGAAGACTAAAGATGGTTCTTATGATAGCGCAGTAACTTTGGCTCATGAGTTAGGTCACGTATTTGGGCTTGAACACGTGGAAGATGTTCCTGGCTGTGCCTGTCCTCAGGAGCCGTGCATCATGAATGAAGATTATGGGTGAGTTTAGCACAAATTTTTCTTTTTTTTCTTCTCCATAGAATTATTTTACAGAAGTTTAATATCACTGAAATAGTTAACAACTTTAAGTGATTTACATTATTTCCATGAACGTGGAAAATAATACGTTGATTATGAATCAGACTCCAATTTTTCATTTAAATCAAAAATTTTTAGTTTGAAATTATTAAAATGGTTTTTTGTATAATTTTGTTTTTTAATAAAAAATAAATAAAGAAAACGGCAGAAAATATTGAGGAAAATTTTTGAATTCAGTGCTACGTCTCTACATTATAGTTGGGCCAATTGTTCGCTTAAGATGTTTGAAGAAACCTACGATTTGCATCAATGTCTTTTTAGAAGAAACCCTGATTTTAGTGAATTGCCTGCCAGATGTGGAAACGGATTAATTGACAAGGGGGAAGATTGTGATTGCAGTGAATTTCCTGACGCAGTAAATCTTTCACAACAATTTCATTTTTCACTTTTAAAGTTATTCCATTCAAAACTGTTTGCTTGATGTAAAATGAACACCCAAAAAATTTTTCTTTCACGAAACAATCATAATGCAAAAAATTCACATTCGGCTATATTAGGTATTGTTAAACGGTCTTAAATGAGATTTTTCAACGAACCACAAAAACGAATAACACGATTTGTTTTCATGTCACGAAGTTTACCAAGTTAAAAACATTTTTTTTTGAAAAAAGATTTGTTCTAGTCATTGCTGTCGTAACTGCAAATTTATAATGGATGCCGAGTGCTCTACAGGGTTATGTTGTGATCTCAACACGTGCCTGGTGAGAAACTGATGTTATCAATATTTTATTTCGTTTTTTTATTAGAAAAAATAATTAGAAATTAAGTCCGTGAAATTATTCATAAAAGCAATTTTGTTCGTTTGTTTAACCGTAATGACGGAATCGGAATTGGCCCGAGTCGGATTTTTTTATGCAGGAAGGATTTGGGGGAAAATTTTTTTGAGGAGTCGTAGTCGGATTTTTTTGTAGGGCCAGAAGTGGAGAAAGATTTTTTGAAGGGCAGGAGTAATAGTCGGATATTTTTGATGTGACACCATTTCAATCAACAATTAAGTCCATTAAGTTAGAATCTATTCCCATAACAACATGAGCTACCAATAATTTGTTCATCAGTTTCCTTTTTTCTAATTTCACCAAAGTATTGTTTTTTTAAATTATTAAAATCATAATAGAGCCTGGAGTGAAAAAAATCACGAACATAATGAAGAGTGCAAAATGATGCATTAATTCTTATTATTACTTTTCAGCACATTGTAAAACATTCATATAAAATAATTTTACTAAAGAAAACTATTATATAGACTAGATTAGTTATTTTTTCTTGAATATCTGTCATTAAGTTGTAGTACTTATGTAAAATTGTTAAGCAAAAATTGAAAAAAACATTTTGGTGTCGTCTCTGGAGTTGGGCGTTAGAATCGGGAGTCAGAGTTTGAAATTTTTTCTAGGAGTCTAATTCCGAAATCAAAGAGTTCGTGTTGAAAAATTTTAAGTCAAGGAGCTGGAGTAGAGTCTGAAGTTTTTTTTATCCAGTTCCGACACCCTGTATCAAACTATCATAATGATTCTTACCCCATTTTTCAGTCAAAATAATAAATTGTTCTGTTTAATTTATTTTTTTCTGAAATTTTAAAATACAAAAAGATCAAACCAGTTGGATCTGTCTGTAGGCCCAAACAAGACGAATGTGATTTAGAAGATAAATGTGAAGGTAAATCCAGCCTCTGCAGAGATTTCTATAATCAAGATGGTTCCATGTGCACAGTAATTAATTAATTATTCAAATAGAATCACGTATGAATGTATAAAATATAAATTTTCACGATTAAAATATCGCTAAAAAAAGAATAACTTTGTTTTATTGCTACCAGCAAGCATATTGCATTTTGTTCTAACAAAGTTTGATTATTTTTTTGTGAAACCGAAATAAGCGTACATGTCGTTAGAAAAATTAATACGAACATTCAAATAAGTTGCCGCGGGCAACGATTTAAACGACGCGTTTTCACCGGCATGCATTTGAATTGTATGCAATTGTTAGTTCAAAACAGCATTCATAATTAGATAAAAATTCATCTATTTACAGATATGATAAAATAATTTAGTAAATTCATAGATGTGGTAAAAATTTTAAAAGTCCACGAGTAGAGGCCCCTTGTCGTCAGGAGGCCCTGGCAAATATTTGATGTGTGAAATGAGTGACGATGTATGGGATCACCAGTCGCTGCAAGATGATTTTCAAACCGTTTTGAATGCAGCTGCCAGGCTGGTTGCTGATGTCTTGAAGTTTGATCCAATATCTCAGTACGTCAGAGATGAGCTACGCTGGCTTCTTATGCCAGAACGAGTAGCATTCAAACTAGCACCATTCGTAAGAGATTGTTTGGCAGGTAATGCTCCAACCTACCGGAGGGAACCGATCCAACCAAAACTCAATACAGGAGTTATCTGCAATCATGCAACTACGGTGACATTATAGTTCTAATGTTCAAATTTTCATATTTTGGGCAAAGAAGTAACAGCTGCTTAAATTTGGAGCGCGTTACTTGTTGATTTGAAGAAATTCAACACCATAAGTCGAAATGACTGAAAAAAGCGTCTAAAAAACCATTAATTCATCTTTCCAGCGCGTCTGAAGTCAATTCAAGTGAGGCGCTGCACAAGTTCTGCGATACGATACGATTTTTTAACTCCTGTGATCTATGAACTTTTATAAAAATCTAGTGTTTTTTAGATTTTCAGAATTTGGAACAACTTGAAGACGAGAGTTGCAAAGCCATTCTAGATTGTATTATATTGTCTATGTCTAGATTGTGTTATATTAACACATCGTTAAGCAGCGACGCACAATTAGACGGACCGTCAAAATGGAAATTTTTGACGATTTGTGATACATACATGTTGACGCTTAAATTTCTTTCGTTTTTCAATTCCCAAAACCACACTAATACGTCAACAGCTTAAATACATGCCACGTAAACTTGATAAAAACCTAAATGAAAACGCAATTTAATGAAAAATAAATAACTTTAATTGATAAATTACATTCATTTACGATCTTGTGAAGAACATAAAGCTGGTTAATATATTTTGAAAACGAAAGGGTTTATAATAAATTAATAGTTTAATTCGCACAAAAGAACTATTCGACGAATTTCAACGGTGACCAATCAGTATATGTAATCTGTATACAATTTATAATGCTGATGTATATTTTATCATTTTTCATACATTTATCTAGCGTTATTTATAAAAAATAATTTTTTTAGAATAAACTATAAATTTTTTAGGGTCAAAACTATTGTTTCGGTGGCAAGTGTCATTCATTAGATAGGCAATGTTCGCAATTATGGCAAGACAATAAAACAGTTGCAGCCAATGCAGATTGCTACAGCCTGAACGAGCTCGGGCCTAGTAAACACTTCCATTGCGATCGTGATGCTTTAACAAATATTTCTGTCCCTTGTAAAAAAGAGTTGGTTCTTTTTTTGATGTCATCTTTCTAAAAACATTTTCAACAACAACAAACCAACTTCAAGTTTATTTACTTTAATAAAATCTTTCGCTAGGTCATTGATAACTCAATGTCATGTACAATTCCTCTATTCCTCTCATTGTTTTTTACACTATAATTTTTTTCTTCAAATACCACTAAAAGTAGGGCAAATTAAACTCAAACATTTCCTAACAGTAACAGATTGTGCGGAAAGCTATTGTGCCGTCTGAGTAACATTAACTTACTGGCGAAACATCATTTCAAAGCGCACGTTGATGAAACCTGCGTCTGCACAGTTTTTGATCTGTTGCCGGGTAGTAATCATTTATCTTATGCTAAGGATGGAATGAAATGCAGCCCTGGGAAGGTTCGGTCCTGTTTGTTAGTTAACGCGTGCTTCCGATATTTTTCGCGTTAGTTTGGTAGGTGCATTATTCCTAAACAAACAATTCTCTCTTCCTCTCTTTCTCTTTACCTCTCTCCCTCTCTCTCTCTCTCTCTCTCTTTCTTTCTCTCTCTCTCTATATATATATACCGTTAGAAAAATCGAAACGTTAAACTGAAAGTTAACTAACGCCGATATTTGCATTTTTGACAGTCTTATTGTTATATATATATAACATTAAAAAAATTGCATATTGAATTTTATAAATAAATGAAATTGGATGCATTGAGAAAGTTGAATAAATGAGCAAATTTCGCTAAGGTTTGCTACAAAAGGGAATGCATTGATAAGAATGCATACGTTCAAGAACTGCAGAGGACGGCCATCATTTCTCGAGGACCAAAAATGTACATCTCATCATTGGGCTGTTTTGTGGTTCATCTGCTTCTGAAGTTGTTCACTGGGTTGATTTAACAAGTACTCAGCCATGGAATAATTTTTTGGAAGATCAGAACTTAATATATTTTTTATTTCAATTTATTCAATTTTTCGGAGAAACATTCAAAAAATTTTTATTTATTATAACAAAATTATTGCCAACTTTTATTGAACATTTTGCTTACAAAATCAATAAATTTAACAAAAATACAAACTTTGCAAAGATATAGATGAATATCTTTTGTTTATTACTATAAATTTAATCAGTGTTTCAACATTGTTGATTTTTTAAATTACTTTTTCTAAATTTCTCATTTTCAAAAATTTAATGAATTATTTAAACATCAAAAATTCATTATTAAAATTTATTTAAGAACATTTCGGCAATCTATTTGTTTTTTCAGGTAACTATTATGATGGCCATTTAATATTTAGACAGATTTTTGGCGAAGAATTTTGATAAATAGAGCATAAGTTAGAGCATTTGAAGTATTGGAGTAAAGGGTTGGTCCGATAAAGATGTTATTAAATCGTTGTAATGATAGGCTGAAGGTTGTCCCGAGTCGCTAGCTGATTGGATGTGGTGTTTACATTATTATTATTATGATTATTATTATTATTATTTTTATATTGTTATTATAATAATAATAATAATTATTATTATTATTATTGGAGGTTCCAGGTTTTGGATGCGCAAAACTTTCTAAATTTTTAGTCGCTTTGTATCGGTGGTGCTGTTTAAGATCTTTGTCCCTGCCACTTAAATCTTAGGTAATTTGCATATTGGGAACTAGTTTCATATGAATAGATAGAGGTAATCCAACAACTTCTAAAGAGGGTCGTGTTTGTCATACCAGCATAACTTTGAAATAATTTTTTACTCCCTTAGAGCCACATCCTGCATTTTGACGTTTAAGTTGGTGGATCTCATGTGACTTATGATGAGAACCAGTGACTGTTTGGGCTTGTCTTACTGGATTGCGTGTTTGGCTGGTATTGTTTACTGCTGGTACGGAAATTGATTCCTGATGCGTATCGCTATATCCAATTTAAGTTTTTAGTTTTTTTCTATTTGACAACCCTGCTGAGGCAACAGTAAAACCAGATGTCTTTTCTTCTCAACCTTAAGCCAACTCGCGGCCATTTCAGAAAGTTGTAATGTTTTTGTGCAGAATTTGAAATATTTTAAAATGAATTTAATTATCGTGGAAGTAATTTAAAATATTTAAAAAAAATTCTAACCTCTTGGAAAAAAGTTAAAAATCTGAAATATTTGTAGCAATGAAAATTTTATAAATATTTATTCTAATCAATTTTTTGAAAGTTTTTTAATGTTATTTAATGGATGTTAAACGTATTGAAATATTTCAATAACATTTTAAGCAAATAAAACCAAAATTGAAACGTCTCCTCACATTAATTAGTTATTAATTGTTGTTTTCGTTTGTTATAACAAGAAATATTGTGAATGTTTATTATTAAAAGGTGGATTGAATTGGCGGTTGGAAGAATATGCAGTGAGTGCAAGTGATGCCCTCTTCTTTAGCTTACAGGCTTCAAGGTTTTAGTTTACTAGGCAAATTCGTTTCAAATGTTAGGATTGGTGCGACCATATAACAAGTTTGTTTTACTGAAATAAGTGAGGCAGCTATGGACACTATGTACGGTACACCAGTGATGACGTAAGTACTCAAAAAATGTACTTAAGTATAAGTACTAAGTACTCAGTAATAAAAGTACTTAAGTATAAGTACTAAGTACCGAAACAGATTGTATACTTGATACTTATAAGTACTAAGTACATAAGTACCTAAGTACATACCATGGTTAATTTGAAATATTTATAAATTTATTAAACTCAGAAATCAACTCATTATTTACAGTAATTTATTTACATCAATAAAAGAGTTTGTTCTTTTTGAGTAAAAGTAAAGTTTCAAATGATTCAGCACTTAAACGATTTCTTCCAGCCTGGCTAAATATACGTTCCACACTTTAACACATATATTTATAAGGATTGTTATATATATATATATATATATATATATATATATATATATATATATATATAATAACTACTATATATAGCGTGCATGTGTATATAGATCATGTAGAGTCTATGATATAGATATATAGATGTCAGAGTGATGTGAGTTAACCACCTTTTAATGACTCAATTAGCCAATGGTTATCTTAACATCCCGCTATCCATGACTAAACAAGGACAAATGTTGATAAGAGAGATAAACAAGAATGTCAATGTGAAAATGTGTGTGTGTGTTTTCATCACAGTTTTCAATTTTTAAATGTTGACATTATCTTATTTTTGCTTAAAATT